GCCGGGCAGCGCATCATTACACGCTGCCCGGTTTCCTGATTGGCCAGGAAACGGCTCCATGCTCTCTCGTCACTTGTGATGAGAGAGCATGGAGCCGACTTCCCGGCCAATCAGGAAGCCGGGTAGCGTGCAATGACGCGCTGCCCGGCTTCCCGATTGGTCAGGAAGCTAGCAAATCCGGAAGCCGGGCGCCGTGTAATGACGCAGCGCCCGGCATTCTGATTGGCCGGAATCCGGCGTCATGCTCCATCGTCATCTCATGAATCATATTATTAAGAAAGTGACCTTAAAGCATTAGTTTTTATTGCTTTAGAAAAAATTTGAAAAAGTATCGGTAATTGGTATCTGCGAGTACTTGATCAAAAGCATCGGTACTCGTACTCAGTCTTAAAAAAGTGGTATCGGTGCCTCCCTAGTTGTTAGATAAATGTGCTTTCTCTGTTCAGGATGAAGACATTGTTTCAGGAAATCAAAGCTTCTATCAAAAACAACATTGAGCACGATCGCTCATTCTGGAGGCCAGTGCTTCCTTGGGGAGGCGTATTCACCATAAAAGCTGGCCGTAAAGCCATCTCGTGCATGCCCCTGTATGTGGAGATCACACTGAAGAACACCTGCACTATCGATGGCTTTTTGATGCTTCTTTATGTTATCCTGCGTGAAAATAACACTTTCCCCCGTGAGCTGTCCCAGTACCTGGGCAGAGAGTTTGTCGATTGTTTCCTCCATCTAATGGACACCTGCAGCTTCACCTCCGTCAAGCTGCTGTGGATATGGGACAAGATGGAGAAGAGGCAGTACAAGTCCGGAGTACATAAAGCATGTCTGGAGATTGACTTGTTTGGGAATGAACATGAAAATTTCACCAGAAACCTGGAGCGCTTGATGGCCACAATTCAGGAGAGTTACTGCTCTAGCCCGCAGTGCCCCATCCGTGTGCAGGAGAGTCACATGCAGACTATTCTAATCAAGTAAGTAAAGAAATCCCTATAAGGGTGGACACATGAATGTAGATTTGGGGAGTAACACAACTTATGAGACAGCCAATGAATAGTTTTTCACCTTACATATGTGTTCTTGGATTTTGTTTTTTAACCACTCGCCCTACAGCCGTAGGATCACTTGTATGGTGATTTGGGGAGTAACACAACTTATGAGACAGCCAATGAATAGTTTTTCACCTTACATATGTGTTCTTGGATTTTGTTTTTTAACCACTCGACCTACAGCCGTCAGATCACTTGTATGGTGCCAAACATCTTGCGGGGCCCCCCTCCGCTGCCAGTTATCCCAGGCTCCGATGTCCCCCGTGCAGGCCCGGGAGCGGCACAGCAGCTGTTTACACTCAAAACGGAGAAGAGATTAGCATTCTCCCACTTGCTGATCTATCCTCCAATGCTTGAAGGTGGAAGTGATGTATATTACATCACTTCCGCCTTCAGCTGTCATTTCTCTGGCTGCTATAGCCAGAGAGGAAGCAGATCTCTGCTTCATCAGCTTCTTTGGGGGTCCCTAGGTGACATTAGGGGTCTTGGAGATGTCTCCATAAAGATGACCTGTCGTATATTTGCTATCACATAGTCACATTTAAATGTAAATACGTGTCGGGTGCGCCTACGTGCAAAAACACTGATTACGCCGCACATGTTACATATCACAGCGAACGTCAAAGTGCGAGCTCTGATTTTAGGGCCATCAATCACTGATAACACTAAACTGATGAGCGGTCATAGCTTTTAAACTGTCGCTATGGCCAATTTTGGGTATGGTAGTTTTTTGTGATTTCGTGGCCGGGCGCAATTTAAAGCTTAACATGTTTGGTGTCTATTTACCGGGCGTGACCCCGTCTTTTATATTTTACCAAAAAATTGGGTAATATTAAATGTTTCATAACATAGGGAAAAAAGTTTATTTTTTCAATATTTTTGGTACTTATTCATTATATAGTAAAAAATAAAACCCCAGTGGTGATTAAATACCACCAAAAGAAAGCTCTATGTGTCCCCAAAAAATGGTATAAAAATAATTTCATTACAGCGTTGCATGACGGAATAAACGTCAATCAAAGTACTGCATCGCTGAATATTGAAAAATGGCCTGGCCAGGAAGGGGGTGTAAACACCCCGGTCATCAAGTGGTTAAATGAACTGGCTCATATTGTAGAACTTCAAGCAACATTTTATTAACCCTTGCAGTGGGGCTACCCTAGCACTGCAAAGGTTAATTGCTCATTTTCTCTGCTGTAGCGATGGTATGTCCCTAGGCGTTCCTTTGTCCTATACACTGTGTATAGAACGTGATGACTCAGGGACCTTAGACCGCTGCAGCGGAGGGAGAGCGAGGCGGAAGGGACCAGTCTAAGAACAAGCCAGCTCGGATCAGGTGTGTATAACTTTGTTATTTTCCTCCCTAGACGAAAACGAGCGGTTAACCCTTGCAGTGCGGGGCTCAGAGTTCCCCTTTAAGCCCTCTTATGCTGATGCAGAATACGAGGTTTCTACTGGTGTCCATGGCGCAGGTACAGGTGCTGGAGGAATCGTATCTCCCTGCTGGTCTAGGATCTTCTATGATCCCCCCCATAAAGTGATTGAGTAGGTGACCAGGTAAAGGGAAGTCTATGTCTGCTGCTGTCTGAGAAGGGATAATGAGAATGGTCTGGTTTCCTCCATTCATGACTTTAACTTTGATGTTTCTCCATCATTTCAGCCCCCCTCATGACATACCTCACGGAGACCTCATTCAGATGGCAGTGGATGAACTGTTCTGCTCCAGGATTGAAGTTTGCGAGGAGAAAGGGTAAGAGACCCATCATAATACATTGCTAACAGTGTGGTTCTGCAGGTGTAAAATGTAGTAACTTGTAGCAACCAATCGCATCTCATCATGCTCATTATTTGACTACTACAAATTGAAATCCAGTTGCTTTGAATTACTGTGTACTTTTCACTTTGTTAGTAAAAGATAACTGTACATATTTAAAATTAGGGCACCGATACCGAGTATTTTGCTCTGATACTTACCTCCGATACTGGAACCTCTGGTCAGAGGGAGATCTCCCTCTCACCGGCAGTGCCGAGGGAGCATGAAGCCGGGCGCTGGGTTAGGACCTGCCTCCTGATTGGCTAGGAAGCCGGTTTCACTTGTTGCTAGGCAGGCTCGCTTCCTAACAAATCAGGAAGCCGGGTGGCCTAGAAACATGTGAAGCCAGCTTCCTAGCCAAACAAGAAGCCAGGAGGTACGTCATTACTTGCCGCCCTGCTCCCTGATTGGTTAGGAAGCCAGGTTGCTTACCAACAAGTGAAGCTGGTTTTCTAGCCAATCAGGAAGCCAGGCGGCTAGTCATGACTTGCGTCTCAGCTTCCTAATTGCTCCGGTAGCCGCGCTACATAGTAACAAGTGACGCCGGCTTCCTAGCCAATCAGGTAGTCGCCTATACCGATACCGGAAGTCCCATTAAGGAAGCCAGGCAGCATGTAAAAACTCGCTACCCGGCTTCCCGATTAACAGGAAGCAAGGAGCCGGCTTTCTGGCCAATCAGGAAGCCGGGCACCATGTAATGACTCATTGCCTGGCTTCCTGATTGGTCAAGAAGCTGGCCGATCAGGAAGCCGGTCAACAAGTCCTTACACAGCGCCCGCCTTCCTGATTGGCCAGGAAGCCGGATCCATGCTCCCTCGTCACCTGGTTGAATGAAGTCGAATTTCTGTCCAATCAGAAAGCCGACAGGTGCATAATGACTTGCCATCCGACTTCCTAATTGGCCAACTTCCCGACCAATCAGGAAGCCAGGCGGCGGGTCATTACACACTGCTCGGCTTCCTCATTGGCCATGGAGCCGGTTTCCCGGGCAATCAGGAAGCCGGGCAGTGTGTAATGACTCGCTGCCTGATATCAGAAGCTCTTGTATCGGGCTAGCCATCGGAGCATTTGGGCGAGTACTCACCCCAATACTCGGCATCGGCACCGATACTATTATCGGTATCGGTGCATCCATAGTTAGAAGGCTCATTTTATGTTAGTAACAGGTACACTTGAAATGATCACATTGACCTGTAAAATGACTGTGCATTCTGTCAGTGCCTGTCTTGTTTTTGCACAGGATGGTGACAGATATCAACTGTCTGTCTTGTCTAGGTGTGGATGCCTGAGGGAGTTTTCTCAGAGGGTTTTCTGTTACGGACCTCCTCCATTTGTTATACTGAACATGGAACAGTGGAAGTCGGAAGACCTGGCCTATGTACCTTATTATCTGGATTTATCTGATCACAAGTGAGTACAAAGTAACCGTAGTGCTCTTAATAAGAGAATGGACTGCATATCTGAAGTACAACAGATGCTTTGATCTGTACAGAAAGGTGAAGCTGACAGACATTGGGAAGCTTTGTGCCGGATTTAAACTGAGCAGTGAACATTCCTCCATTGTGTTTATTTACAGTGTAGTCAATCCCAAACACAGGAATGTCATATAATGCAGCTTACTGGTCCTTGGATGTGGTGGCTGCAAGTGCAGAGAATACCATTTGATCCTCCCATAAATGCCGTGCCCCGGTCACTTCCCAAAAAGACAGCAATGCTATCACTTCTGTAATGGAGATAAACAATGGCGGACATGTTTGAAGTCCAGCCTGTGTGACAACCATGGCTCCCTCCATAGATATAGGTGTAGTCACAGAGGGGCAGAAAGTATATTATTTGCAGGAAAGCCTGGGAAAAAAAGAAAACAAATGCAGCTACACATCTAAGGACCGGTGAGCTGCCATATGTTACATTTATGTTTCTGGGCTTAGATACATTTTACAAGCAAACATGTCACCTAGTCCCACAAGTCAAAGTGAGCCTTCAGCGATGTACTGTACCTTAAGATGGTAAGCTCTCATGGACAGTGCCGTCCTAATCATTGCATTGCATTGTATTCCAACTGTTCTGTCCCCCTTGTTTGTAAAGTGCTCTGCAAACTGCTGACGTCATATAAATCCTGAATAATAATAATATATCTGGCCACCTTCCCAGACTGTCATAGTTGCCTCTTGAAAACATATGGGAGCAAATGTTTTTTTCTCTAACTCTCTCCCCCCATAACTCTCTCCTCCTCTAACGCTTCCCCTCATTCTAACTGTCTCTTCCCCACTCTCTAACCCTCTCCCCCTCTAACTCTGTCTCCCCCTCTCTCTTCCCCTCTCCCTAATTCTCTCTTCCCCTCTCCTGCTCTCTCTAACTCTGTCTCCCCCTCTCTAACTCTGTCTCCCCCTCTCCCTAACTCTCTCTTCCCCTCTCCCTAATTCTCTCTTCCCCTCTCCCTAACTCTCTCTTGCTCTGTCTCCCCCTCTCTAACTCTCTCTCTCCCCCTCTCTAACTCTCTCTCTCCCCCTCTCTAACTCTCTCTCTCCCCCTCTCTAACTCTCTCTCTCCCCCTCTCTAACTCTCTCTCTCCCCCTCTCTAACTCTCTCTCTCCCCCTCTCTAACTCTCTCTCTCCCCCTCTCTAACTCTCTCTCTCCCCCTCTCTAACTCTCTCTCTCCCCCTCTCTAACTCTCTCTCTCCCCCTCTCTAACTCTCTCTCTCCCCCTCTCTAACTCTCTCTCTCCCCCTCTCTAACTCTCTCTCTCCCCCTCTCTAACTCTCTCTCTCCCCCTCTCTAACTCTCTCTCTCCCCCTCTCTAACTCTCTCTCTCCCCCTCTCTAACTCTCTCTCTCCCCCTCTCTAACTCTCTCTCTCCCCCTCTCTAACTCTCTCTCTCCCCCTCTCTAACTCTCTCTCTCCCCCTCTCTAACTCTCTCTCTCCCCCTCTCTAACTCTCTCTCTCCCCCTCTCTAACTCTCTCTCTCCCCCTCTCTAACTCTCTCTCTCCCCCTCTCTAACTCTCTCTCTCCCCCTCTCTAACTCTCTCTCTCCCCCTCTCTAACTCTCTCTCTCCCCCTCTCTAACTCTCTCTCTCCCCCTCTCTAACTCTCTCTCTCCCCCTCTCTAACTCTCTCTCTCCCCCTCTCTAACTCTCTCTCTCCCCCTCTCTAACTCTCTCTCTCCCCCTCTCTAACTCTCTCTCTCCCCCTCTCTAACTCTCTCTCTCCCCCTCTCTAACTCTCTCTCTCCCCCTCTCTAACTCTCTCTCTCCCCCTCTCTAACTCTCTCTCTCCCCCTCTCTAACTCTCTCTCTCCCCCTCTCTAACTCTCTCTCTCCCCCTCTCTAACTCTCTCTCTCCCCCTCTCTAACTCTCTCTCTCCCCCTCTCTAACTCTCTCTCTCCCCCTCTCTAACTCTCTCTCTCCCCCTCTCTAACTCTCTCTCTCCCCCTCTCTAACTCTCTCTCTCCCCCTCTCTAACTCTCTCTCTCCCCCTCTCTAACTCTCTCTCTCCCCCTCTCTAACTCTCTCTCTCCCCCTCTCTAACTCTCTCTCTCCCCCTCTCTAACTCTCTCTGCCGCTCTCTAACTCTCTCTCCCCCTCTCTAACTCTGTCTCTCCCTCTCTAACTCTGTCTCTCCCCCTCTCCCTCTTCTCTCTCCCCCTCTCCATCCCTCTCTCTCATTCCCATCCCACAATGCAACCTAGTACTCACTACCTGAACACCCGCAGGAACTGGCACACGGGCTGCAGTTGTGGATGAGGATGGGGGTTAGGAGCACTGAAGGTACAGTGTGGCCCTAGTTGGTCACTTTGCATTATGTGACCCCATGACAGATGTAATTCTTGTTTTTCTCTAAGCGGGTTGCCATTCACATATTGCGCGGTCTTCGATCAGCGTAGTGTACAAGACATATGGATTGTCGTCCAGCGTCTCTAGATGGCCAAACATCATATAGTCTGATTGTACAATGCATCAGGTTTAGACCACATTATACAAAAAAACACATTGTGTGGGATCACAGAAAGCCATGAAGTTTGGATGAGGTTGCTATCTTGCATCTGAAAACGCTAGTTACCTGGCTGTTATTCTGGCTCACTGGCAGCAGCATTTTCTAGGTTACCGATAAGAGGGCTGAGCAAGAGAAATCTTTCCAGAAGAATTAACCCTTGCAGCGGTGCTACCCCCGCACTGCAAGGGTCAACTGCTCGTTTTTCTCTAGAGGCGAAAATTAAGAAGAAATACGCACCCGATCCTCGGTCCTGCTTAGCTGCTAGACTGGTCCCGGCAGCCTTTTCTCCCCAATCTGATCTAAGGGCCCGTGACATCATCACTTCTAATGCGGGTCTATTAGACATGAAGACGCCTTGGGACATACCAAACCTGGAAGTGACGGGGAGAGAAGGAAGCGCCCACTGCCGCAGGACTGAGGATCGGGTGAGTATTTCTTCTTTATTTTTGCCCCTGGAGAAAAGCGAGGATTTAACCCTTGCAGCGCCGGGGTAATACCACTGCAAAGGATCATTTTTCTAAAACCTGGAGATCTTCTGTAAGTCAGGAAAGCGGAAATAAAGCCCTCATCTGCGTACGTGTACCGAGTGAGTGATTCAAGCCAGAGGGCTATGGTGAACTTGGCCTAACGCGTGTCATGTGACCTGCTTTCAGATACCTGCTGGAAGGCGCCACCCTCTTCAACAAGGAGGAGCACCATTACTCCGCAGCCTTCCAGATTGACGGCTTTTGGATGCACTACGACGGCCTGAGGAACGTCAACCTAATACTGTTAAATAAGCCCCCGGAGCTTTTACTTCTGTCATCCCTGGTGTACGTGAGAGCTGCAGAAAAATAACCCAGCAAGTGTCCGCGTGGTATTGTTCAGATCAGTCGTGTAACTGGTTTTGTTGTTTTTTTTTTTATCTTACACGGATATGATATCTACAGGTTTCTATCATGTTGGTGCTGACAAATGTGAGTTTAAAAATTGAAACTAAACTGTTTGTGCCTCCAACACAGTGTGCAGCCGTCAGGAAAGTGGATAGTTTTGGATAACGTAGGGAAGGGTTCTGAGATTTGGTGTGGGATCCCCCTCCCCCCCCCCCCTTTATTTGTCCCGGTGACTACTGTCACTGACACTGAAACCCAAAATTCTACAGTTGTCCCCAGAAACAGAATGGAGTGGAGATCTTCCAATGGGGGGCACCTGTTGCAATGACATCTGTCTAAAGGCTGTGACGCACTGTATGTGAAGCAGTTCAGAGCGGTGGCGCGCTGCTCTTCAGGAGCAGCGTGTCATGTCATTTTCTCCCCGGCACGTCAGCTTGTGAGAGCTCGCATAGCTGAGCGTGCCGAGATGAAAAATGTCATCTTCAGCCAATCGGCTCGCGCGTATAAACCCACGCGTCAGGATGCGACGTCTGGCCGGTGGTTACGCACGAGCCGATTGGCTGAAGGTGCAGTAGGTCATCTTCCTGCACTTGGCTCACACACTGCACGCAAAGCTCCGTGCCGGACAGCTTTGCTGCGCTCTGCACGACTTTGCGTGCAGTGTGTCACAGGCTCAAGGGTCACCATACAGGTAACAATCTGAACATACATACCTTGTACAATCAACTTTACCAAAATGATGTAATATGAGGACCTGCTTAATGGACCCCCTCAGTTTGTATCCATACAGACAGGCCCTTGTACTACATAGTTGTTGGTAGATTGTACAATCAGATTGCAGCGCGTGCGATGAGCTTGAGACCCCATTCACATTGAGCGATTTATCGCGCGGTAATTCCCGTGATATCGCGGCAAATTACCGCGCGATATCGCGCTCCAATGCAATCCAATGGGGCAAAGGGTCCTGCTGTCGCGGGTCGTGTGTCGCTACAGCAGGACCCTTTTTTGAGCGGATTTAGCCGCGAGTGGGAACGGGGCCTAAAGTACTAAAGGCTGGGAGGGGAATTTATCAAAACTGGAGCAGCCGTGCATGGCAACCAATCAGCTTCTCTCTTTCATTTTCAAATCGAAACTGAAGAGAGAAGCTGATTGGTTGCCATGGGCAACTGCTCCAGATTTTGCCTGCTCTAATTTGGATAAATTCCGCTTCTGGGTGTTTTTTACCTTAATGCATTCTCTGCTGCTGCTTAGGACCAACATCTAAACATGAACAATGTAGCCACTGCCACCATGACTACAAACTGTTTCCTGTTTGCATCCCTCCCTCAATGGGTTCTCAATGTGGCAGCGGCACATGCACAGTATGAACTCTGGTGATTCTGAATGGTTAAAGGCGGAGGTCTGCGGATGAAGACTCATAAGTGCAAATGACGGATCTATACTCCTGTAATCTTACGGATCTATACTCCTGTAATCTTACGGATCTATACTCCTGTAATCTTACGGATCTATACTCCGGTAATCTTACGGATCTATACTCCTGTAATCTTACGGATCTATACTCCTGTAATCTTACGGATCTATACTCCTGTAATCTTACGGATCTATACTCCTGTAATCTTACGGATCTATACTCCTGTAATCTTACGGATCTATACTCCTGTAATCTTACGGATCTATACTCCTGTAATCTTACAGATCTATACTCCTGTAATCTTACGGATCTATACTCCTGTAATCTTACGGATCTATACTCCTGTAATCTTACGGATCTATACTCCTGTAATCTTACGGATCTATACTCCTGTAATCTTACGGATCTATACTCCTGTAATCTTACGGATCTATACTCCTGTAATCTTACGGATCTATACTCCTGTAATCTTACGGATCTATACTCCTGTAATCTTACGGATCTATACTCCTGTAATCTTACGGATCTATACTCCTGTAATCTTACGGATCTATACTCCTGTAATCTTACGGATCTATACTCCTGTAATCTTACGGATCTATACTCCTGTAATCTTACGGATCTATACTCCTGTAATCTTACGGATCTATACTCCTGTAATCTTACGGATCTATACTCCTGTAATCTTACAGATCTATACTCCTGTAATCTTACAGATCTATACTCCTGTAATCTTACGGATCTATACTCCTGTAATCTTACGGATCTATACTCCTGTGATCTTACGGATCTATACTCCTGTAATCTTACGGATCTATACTCCTGTAATCTTACGGATCTATACTGTAAAAACGCAGAATCTTGTACGCCAGTGTGCATGAGCCCTAAGAAGGCGTTTGCTCTCATTTTGGAATGATCTCCTTTCACTCCTGTTGTGTCTGTGGGACAGGAAGCGAAGGGAAATTTCTCCCCAGCAGGACAAAAGAAGCATTAACCCTTCCCTATTCTATGCAAAACAAAGGAAGTTTGTTAATGATATAATTTTAGGGAGAATTCTAACAAAGACGTATTATGCAGAGGGCAGGAAGGAAGTCAGAGAGGTTGGTGCCGCTAGTATTCAAAGGCTGGTTACAGCATCTATCTTCTCAGAGCTCCTGACAGCAGCTATGAATGTCTACTTCAGATGGACAAAATGCAGTGAATATTCCTCACAAAGGGCAAAGCAACAAGTTCACTAAGTGCCGCCGTCCCCAGCAGCACATACTCATGTGGCGTTCACTCTGCCATTGCTCCATTGGGCAGAGGCCTGGTTCACTTTAACCTAACACATAGGCTTACCCTGACACTTGTCCCTAACACTTAACACTTCCCTCTTAGCAGAGCTGCCATTCAAATTTACACCGAATCAGTGGGGCACATCACCAGCATTTACAAATCAACCTGTTAACGTTTCAAAAAAGGATCTTGAAAATCTGCTTCTGTGCACCATCATATGACATAAACCCTGGACCCTGGCTTGCAGTGTGATCAGGAAGGCACAGCGCTGTGCAGCACTTCTGAGCAGGAAGCAGAGCATGCATATGTAATGAGCAAATATGGCTGCCCTCATGTACATCTATAATTATAAACTATGCACAGAGACACATTGGGGGGAATGTATCAAACCTGGAGCAGATTTGCAGTGCAACCAATCAGCTTCTACTTCTCATGTTTAAATCTTACCCGAGCACACTGAAGAGAGATGCTGATTGGTTGCCATGGGCAACTGCTCCAGCTTTTGTCTGCTCCGATTTTGAAAAATTCTGTTTAGCTCTGAAGATTATTTATTTTGCATACTTGTTTTGGAACTGAGAACCCCCTGACTCCTCTTAACCTGCTTCCTCACTGCGTAAAACGTTTCGTTAGAGTTGCCTTTTAAATGCTACCTGAATTGCACACACTTTAAGGTGTATTACCAAGATGGCCGCATGGTAAGTGCACCTGCCTTCCTTTCTGAATGCATTGGAATATATTCATTGACGGCTTCTTGTTCGGCACACATTCTTTGAGTCACCATTTTATCACCATCTACAGGTGAAACTCGGAAAATTAGAATATCGTGCAAAAGTTCATTTATTTCACTAATGCAACTTAGCCGTCTACCAGGAGATTTTGGAGCACTTCATGCTTTCTTCCACAGACGAGCTCTATGGGGATGCTGACTTCATTTTCCAGCAGGACTTGGCACCTGCCCACACTGCCAAAAATTTTCTGAAATTGTGGATCTGGGTTTTCATGAGCTGTAAGCCATAATCATCACAATTATGACAAATCACGGCTTGAACTATCTTGCTTTGCATGTAATGAGTCTATCTCATATATTAGTTTCACCTTTTAAGTTGCATTAGTGAAATAAATTAACTTTTGCATGATATTCTAATTATTCGAGTTTCACCTGTATATCTTAAAGTAAACCAGTGCTTTGCCCATGCAGGTGAAAGTGACAGGTTCACTTCGATCCCCATTCAGCTGCAGCACTTACTCAGTTTTCTTTGTTTTATGCAGCTTCATTTGGTTGCTGGGCGCAGGAGAAGCTGCCATGTGTTAGATATGATTTGCTCAGGTTTTAGCAGGCACAGGTCTCTAGTCTCCCCCTAAAGAAGTTTTTTTGTTAATGTTATGAGGCTTAAAATAGAGCTATGGGGTCAGTGTTTTTCCTCATAGTTCTCTTTAGGGTCACGGGAGGACATATACTAATCTCCTCCCGGGCTATTACCCGCGATATACTGAGAGTGCCGCACCAAAGATTGTGACTGGGTTGGAATGTGTGACCAGTCACGTGGTCACACATTTTAACGTAATCACGCCCAGTTTTTACACGGTGGAATATGTGACCGACAAAAGGTGAAGAATTCCAACGCTTTCTCAGTAGTTCCAGGGCAGATCTGCATCTCAGATGGTATTTGCAGGAGAACCGATCTGCCCTGGAGCAGCTGATCAGTCCTGAAATGTGACTTTGTGACTGCGATCTCTCACAAAGTCAGATAGAAGTGACATTTCAGGACCGATCAGCTGTTCCAGGGCAGATCAGTTCTCCTGCACATACCATCTGCGATGCCAATCTGCCCTGGAACAGCTAAGAAAGCGTTGGAATTCTTCACCTTTTGCCGGTCACATATTCCACCCCCGAAAAACTGGGCGTTATTACGTTAAAATGTGTGACCACATCACCGGTCACACATTCCAACGCAGTCACAAACTTTGATAGAACGCCGGGACGGATCTCGACAATATTGTCGAGATCCACCCAGTAGCGTGAGTGACAGCTGGCTATGCCTATCTAGAGCCAGCTGTGCCCACCCCCTCCCCCATCCGTTCTTCCAGTCACCGCTGTGGAAATCACTCACCTCATAGATCTCCTTTAAGCGCCCCACAGTCACTGGATTTGGTACTTGTTTAGACTGTCATACAGAAGCCTTTAGATGCACATTGAGGTGCACCCCACATGCTGTTGTGCTTCAATGTGCGCAGGGCAAGCTGTCCACGATGAGACAATTTCAGTGCTGTTTGGA